TAAACTTTAAACCAATCCTTGAAAGATACAGAGGTCAACTTGAACAAATGGAAAGATAGTCCTTTTTCTTGGCGAGAACAGCTTAACATAAGATGACAGTTCTCCACTATTAATTTATAAATTTAATGCAGGACCAAAAAAATACCAACAAGCATGTTTCTGTGGAGTTAGACAAGTTGATAATAAAGTTCACATGGAAAAGTAAAAATGCAAGAGTTATTAATGGAAGTTCTTTTCTTTAGGATAATTGGGATGATGAGGAGGAGGAAAAAAAAGAGGAAGCAGAAGTAAAACCAGGTGAGCCACTGGGGTTTCTACATTTTTGGTTTTATGTCTTGGTGAATATCTGGTACTTATGTTAAGACAAATGACAAAAAACTCATAAGACTTAAAATTTTGGTATTTAGAAACCAAACATCCTTTCATTCCCACTTTATTCTCTTCTCCCTGCATCTCTTCTCTCATCTCAAAACATAATTAGATTAGATACATGCTTCTTTTTTAGTATTATGAGAGGGTAAAGGATGTGGTATCATAGTTGAATGATCTAAGTCCTGCGTAAAGGACTATGGGAAAATATGAAGGCAGGTGTTTGGATCTTAGGGGTCAGGTTAGAGAGGAAAAAGAGTTCCAGAACGTTCCCATTCTTATTTGCCAAGAAATCACCATATGAAATTGGAGCTGGGAGAGGGTTGGCTTTTTGAAGTATACAGGTATCATGTCTGTCTCATCCATAAACTGGAAAATATTCAAAATAATTGATTAAAAAATTACTTTTAGAAGTAAAAATTTCAGAAAAGAAAAAAATAACAGAGAAGATAAAAGAAAAAGAACGGCAACAGAAGAAAAGGCAAGAGGAAATTAAAAAGAGGGTAAGTACTATTGATTTTCTAAAATATAGAACTCTCACATCAGTAGTAGTAGTACAGTGTCTTAATAGGCAACCGATACTGCCTTGCAATTTGAGGGGCTTTGTAAAGACGTTAAATGAACACCATCAATAAGTTAATCCCAAAACTGAATTTGTGGTTTTTACAAAAACCAAACCTAGAAACTTTATGTATTAGAATGCCTTTTAAGTTTTCACAAACATTCGGGAACAGTTATAATTGTGTAATGACCACAGCCATATAAAAAGTGTCTGTTTCTCTGCCAGGTACTATGTGTTTGTTTGTTTATTTATTTATTTATATATTTTTAAATTTCTTTATTGATTAAGTTATTACATATGTGTCCTTATCCCCAAATTACCCCTCAAACCCCTTACTCATGCCTTCACCCCCGTTGTCTGTGTCCATTGGTTAGGCCTATATACCTGCATATAAAACCTTTGGTTGATCTCTCCACCTTACCCTCACCCTCCCCTACCTTCCCTCTGAGGTTTGACGGTCTGATCCATGCTTCTCTGTCTCTGGATCTGTTTTTGTTTATCATTTTATGTTGTTCATTATATTCCATAAATGAGTGAGATCATGTGGTATTTATCTTTCTCTGACTGGCTTATTTCATTTAGCATAATGCTCTCTAGTTCCATCCATGCTGTTAGAAGTGCTTCTTATTGTTTTTATTTTTGAATCATTTAAATGTGTTTTCTATTTAAAAAAAAAAACAAACACAAATTAATACAAGATTCCTGATCTTGTTCCAAATATTCAAGAAAAACGCATAGTTATCAATAGCATAATGAATAATCATACACATCACAGTTGTTAATATTTTGCCATATTTGCTTCATCTATTTTTTTTTAAATACATTTTATTGATTTTTTTTACAGAGAGGAAGGGAGAGAGATAGAGAGTTAGAAACATCGATGAGAGAGAAACATCGATCAGCTGCCTCCTGCACATCTCCCACTGGGAATGTGCCCACAACCAAGGTACATGCCCTTGACCAGAATCGAACCTGGGACCTTTCAGTCCACAGGCCGACGCTTCATCCACTGAGCCAAACCTGTTTCAGCAATTTTTTGCTAAAATAAGATAAATAACACACATTATGCATTTTGCAATACTTCAGAGCAGCAGTCGCCCAGCGGTGGTTTGCGGACCACTGGTGGTCCGTGAGGTCCGAAAGGTTGGCAACCACTGCTTTAGAGGTAATGCTGTGTGCTTCATATTACTTCACATCACATCAGTAGTCATGTAATGTCTGTCCTATTATTAGTGATGCTAAAATTGATCACTGGGTTAAAGTTGAGACAGCCTGATCCTTCTCATAAAATTACATATTTCTTCTGGCAAATAATCCAATTTCACGTCAGCTTCTCACCCAATAGTTTTGTATCACTGTTGATCATTGCCTAATTATTACATTAGATATTACAGAATAGTGATTTTTCTCATTGTGACTTCTCTTCCTTTTTTTTTTTATTGGTTGGCTTTTTTTCTTCTTTTGCTACTTGGTTCCTTTGGATATGGTTTGTACTAAAAAGAGTAAAAGCTTAATTCTTTTCCTTTTATAAATTTTCAGAGTAAAGAGATAATAACTTCATGTGGTGAAAAATGAAGGATTTTGTGGATTTTATTTTGAGTAAATTTATGGACTTGGAGATTTTTATAAATTCATTGTGTTTTACTAATATACAGTAGTTTTTTGATGGTCAAACTGTCCCAACTTTGGCCAGTAGGAATCCCTTTAAGTAGTTTCTATCTTTATCCTTTTGATAGGGATCCCATTAGTCTTTGAAAGCTTCCTTGTTTCTGATACAATAAGAAGTGCCAGCCTTACCCGATAAACATTCTTCATTAAGCCTGGAATTAGCTGCTCCTCTGAGGTTTTTTTTAGTGGAAAATAATATATAGAGGCCAGATCTAGATGTCTGTAGTACTTAGTGTTATTGTGATAGCCTACATCCCTTTTCGTGGATTAATAAGCTAGGAAAGTAAGGTGTATGTGTGATCATTAGTTCATACTGATATTTTTTCTTATTCTGACTACACTTTTTTTTTTTTTTTACAATACCAATATTACTAACAAGGTAGAGCTACTGAATGAATTTTAGGATTTCCTTGCAATTCATTTTGAGCTTTGAATATGTCCTGCTAAGGATGTATAATTATGTCCTGGGTTCTAAAGTCATTTGAATTCTCTTCCCAGTGGCCTTATGTCTAGTTTGGTACACTTTTTTGTTTGTTTGTTTTCAGTTTTAAGATTTTAATTAATTTATTTATTTTTTTAAATTCTCACCTGGGAATCAAACCCACAGCCTTTTGGTATATGGGACGACTCTCCAAACAACTGAGCTGGCTGTGGCTTAACTTTATTTATTTTTTCTTTAAATATATTTTTATTGATTTCAGAGACAAAGAGAGAGGGAGAGAAAGAGATAGAAACATCAATGATGAGGATCATTGATGGGCTGCCTCCTGCATGCCCCACACTGGGGATTGAGCCGCTCCAGCATGTGCCCTGACCAGGAATGGAACCATAACCTCCTGGTTCATAGGTTGACCCTCGACCACTGTGCCATACTGGCCCCCCATCTATTTTTTCTAGTTTTTTTAATTGTTTAAATTATTACATAGGTCTCCTTTTTCCCTGATTGACCCCACCCGCACCGTCGCCACTCCCACCCCCCAGGACAAGCCCCCACCACCCCAGTGTCTGTGTCCATTGGTTATGCTAATATGCATGCATACAAGTCCTTTGGTAGATCTCTAACCCCCCCCTCCCCTGCCATAAATCTTTATTGTTGAAAGTATTACGTATGTTCCCTTTTCCCCCTCATTGACCCCCTCCAGCCCCCCCTCCCCCCATCCCAGGCCTTCACCACCCTATTGTCTTTGTCCATGGGTACATACAAATCTAACATAAACCTTACTTAGAATGTACTCAGTTTATCTTAGGCCAGGTATTGAGTTAATATATATTTAGCTTTGATGCAGGAAATACTTGATGTCAACACTTAACTGTTAGACAAATAAGTCAAGATACTTCCCTTTTTCTTTCTAGCAAGTGTTTGAGATTTCCTAACTTGGCATAATGAACTTTCTCATTTCATCTTCTCCATGAGAAATAAAATGATCTATTTCAGAAGTGGACTTCTGAATCAAAATCCTCAAACTGCATAGGCATGGATAATTATGAATGACACAAATTCCCTTCACTTTTCCCACTTGGATAAATATTGTCGAAGATTTCCCCTTATTATAGTAAAAGCAGTGTGTGTGTGTGTTGTAGAAAATTATATCATAATATATAGAAATGTTAACTGTCATCTCAGTGGTGTGTGATTGGAAAATAAGTGTTTTTATGTCTGCATATTATTATATGGATATGCCATTTGGTTGTTGAACATTCAAGTTGGTTCTAAATTTAGTTGAAATTATAAAGACTTGATACTTATTACCAAGTTGCTCTAGGAAGATTGTTTCAGTATACAGTGTTAGCAGCAGAATGTGAGCGCCATTTTCACTCTGTCTACAATCTCAAATCCTTTTTTTTTTTTTTTTACAATTTCAATTCTTTCTTTTAAAAAAAAATATTTTTATTCATTTCAGAGAGAAAGGGAGAGGGCGAGGGAGAGAGAGGGAAACATCAATGATGAGAGAATCATTGATTGGCTGTCTCCTGCACGCCCCCTACTAGGGATAGAGCCTGCAACCCAGGCATGTGCCCTTGACTGGAACTCAACCCAGGATCCTATCCACTGAGCCAAACCAGCTAGGGCTCAATTCTTTATTTTTAAAAAAGGTTGTAGAAATAAGCTCAGTCTTCCTGGATTCGAATCTTAGCTCTTTCCCATTACAAGCTGTGTTAACCTGTTACCATGGGCAAGTTGCTTAACCTCTCTGTGCCTCAGTTTTTTCCCCTTTAATATTAGGATAAGAATATCTAAAATGTTTAGAAGAATGCCAAAATACAGTATGTATATACTTTTAAGTGTTTGCTATTATTTATGATTACATGTGCTTATAAAAAAATTCATAGAAAATAGATGTACTGGGTCCACCTATCATGATTCCAGCCCTTTTAAAACTTCACTTCTGTATCATTTTAGTTAGAAGAACCTGAAGAAACAAAAGTACTAACACCAGAAGAACAATTAGCAGATAAACTGCGGCTAAAGAAATTACAGGAAGAAGCAGACCTTGAATTAGCAAAAGAAACTTTTGGTAAGTGGGAGATACTGAGGTTTCAAGTAATTGTGAAAATCTTGGTAGTTATGAAAGTTTAGAAAACATCTTTTTGAAGAAACATATTACTGGCTACTTTAGGTATTAGCAGTTTTTATTCTCTTTATATTTGAGGTTTCAAATGAATTATGGTGGAGTGAGACACATATTTAGATTTTTGAATAATTATGTTTTGAGTATTAAATGAAATATATTTTTCTAAACTATGTTTTCAATTGATTTTTTTAGAGAGGCAGGGAGAGAGAGAGATAAAAACATCAGTGAGAGAGAAACATTGATCTCCTGCTTCCTGCACGCACCCCACCAGGGATCAAGCCCACAACCCAGGCATGTGCCCTGACCGGGAATTGAGCCGGCAACCTCTTGGTTCATGGGTTGATGTTTAACCACTGAGCCATACCAGCCAGGCCAAATAAAAGATTATTAAGATAAAAAGTCATTGGACCCAAATAAAGTCTACCACTTTGTAAAATGTATTTATCAACGGTGTGAAATTTGGATGGAATGTGAGGTCTGTAGCTTTGAGATTTAAATACCAAACTACCTGTAGGGCTGTCCTGTTGTCTTAATTAAGTCTGAATAAGACTTAGTATTGCATGCTAGTGCTGGGAGAGAGAGGTGGTGGTGAGAGGGTGGTATTTCACTTTGATTGTGCCTTCTTGTGCTCAGAGTAATTTCTTTCTGCAACCCTTCTTGGCCTTCACCATGCCCTATCTCTACCAGTGGTTCTCAACCTTCCTAATGCTGCAACCCTTTAACACATTTCCTCATGTTGTGGTGACCCCCAACCATAAAATTATTTTCGTTGCTACTTCATAACTGTAATTTTGCTACAGTTATGAATCGTAATGTAAATATCTGATATGCAGGATGTATTTTCAGGGTCTCGACCCACAGGTTGAGGACCGCTGCAGACGGCTTCCATTCTGTGTGCCATACCTGCAGCTATGGTTAGTGCATGAGATAAAAGACATGTTCAAGGTCCTGTAAAAAAATCAGTTCAGAGTGTCCCAGGAGGATAGTTACATGGCACAGAGGATAAAAGGAAGGAACATGCCCAGAGAAAGTAAAAGCTCTCATTTTAACCAAGTTTATTGTTGTCAGCTATTGAGTACTTTGTAGAGTAGAAGATCATATTGAAACAGTTAAATAACTGGAAATCCAAACCTAGAGCCAAAAACAATCTAGTTTTCCCCTCATTCCTTTTCTTTAAAACAATCAAGCAGGCTGACTCTAGTAATCATTTCCTTTTTATGGGAAGTGTGACCTTATCTTTCACTGGGCCTCTAGTAATCTCAAGAGATGCTCCTGTCTGCTGGAATGTGCTTGAAATGTCTTAACTGCACTCATCTCATCACAGAGGGCACTCAGCCATTCTCTTGTGTCTTCAAGGATGGTAAAAGCCGCCCATGTGTTTATTAAAGAGAAGGGTTTATGTGGTACCCATAAATCCTAATATAGGACACCAATTACAGATTAAAAGGCCAAAACATGCATACATACAGTCATTGTTTGGTTAATAGGATTTCAGTGTTGTGTTTTTCATATTAAAATACTGAATCAGTGGCATTGTTAACAACTAATTTAGACTACTGAGGACAAAAAAGTGTACCGACATATTAATTTTTCTATTGGGATTTAACACATGGTTTGCTCCTGCTTAGCTTCTAGAGTTAGTTAGCTGGATACTTTGACAGAAACCATCGTTTTCTTTGCTTTTTTCCTTCTCTCCCCACTTCACTCTGGGCTGTTCTTGGACAGATACCTTAAGACAGCCGTGGGCAAACTACGGCCCGTTTGAAATGAATAAAACTAAAAAAAAAAAAAAAAAAAAAAGACCGTACCCTTTTATGTAATGATGTTTACTTTGAATTTATATTAGTTCACACAAACACTCCATCCATGCTTTTGTTCCGGCCCTCCGGTCCAGTGTAAGAACCCATTGTGGCCCTCGAGTCAAAAAGTTTGCCCACCCCTGCCTTAAGAGCATTCTTTTGTGCTAGGGACTCCTTTGGCATGGCAGTCTGCCAAAGCCCGTGGGCCCCTTTTTAATCTGATGTTTTTAAATGCATAAAACAAAACACACAGGACTTTACTTACAAAATAAATCTTTTGAAATAAATATTGAAATAGCTATCAAAATATTAAAATAACTTTTGACACAATAATTACATGGTTCTTTGATGTATTGAGTAAGACCTAGAGCAGGTCTAATAAGTAATGTAATTTTAAAGTAATAATGACTGTGAATAATGTTTCAAGATATCTGAGACAACTGTAATGTGAAAGGAAAGTATCTGATTTCTGTTGGTAACAGTCAGGTTTTGCGTCTGTGATTTGTTGCCGGTAATCAAAATGGAAGGAAACTAGAGGTTAGTAAAAATAAAAGCTATAATTTTTTTCTCATCCAAATTCACAGGCCCCTTGAATTCTGTTCAAGGTCCCAGGTTAAGAATTTCTGCTTTAGAATGACGTAGCAGGGTTGTTCAGGTGTCTAATTGGTTTATAAACTTTAAAAATATCTTTCTGATATTTGCAGTGCTCCCTTTCTATTACAGGTGTTACTAATACAGTTTTTGGAATAGATGCTATGAACCCATCTTCAAGAGAGGACTTCACAGAGTTTGGAAAGCTACTAAAAGATAAAATTACACAATATGAAAAGTCATTATATTATGCCAGTTTTTTAGAAGCCTTAGTTCGAGATGTGTGTATTTCATGTAAGTAATTCTAATCTCTAGCCCCTGCACGTGGATTTTAGTAAGGGCACACTCAAGAAGATGGAGGTTGACTTTTTGCAGGGCTGGGAGGAGGAATGCTATAATATACAGACTTAGTATTTACTTTTTAGTAGTTACTATGAGAATGGTGTTCTGCAAACATGCAATTAGTTTGAATGGTTTTGTTCCTTTTTGAGGCTGCCTTCTTAATGTTTTCACAATGGTTTCCCAAGGAGACATCTGAGATTTGTTGCCACAGCAGCTAATACAGCACTAGCTTATTCTTTTATCTAATTATATCTTGAAAGGGGCTAGGAAGTGTCTTTTGGGGAAAATGCTCTCTGGGCATATAAGATTTTAGAGCTGAGATCACAGCAATTGTATATTCCTTTTATAAATGAAGAAGCCTGTGACAGGTGCAAGTTGCTCAACAGAGCTAGCACCTATTCTCTGGGCCCACGGGTGTGGTGCTGTGCCCTGAGAGAGGACTCAGTCACGCATTTCAGAGGCTGGGTGTGGGAGTGACAACCAGGGGTGGTGCAGCACCAATACAGTAAGGGACTGGTTTTGCTAGTATTTATTGTTTTTAAGATTGAGGAAAAGGAATTTTACATAATGGATTTTAAATTGGGTTTTGAGAAATTATTACTAAGTTGGGGGTTATTTGATGAGTTATTATATCCCCAGAGTTGGTCTTTTCTGCATATATTATTTTTCCTGTTTTTGAAGGAGCTCCCTAATCAAAACTAGTTACTTTTTTGGTAGCTAAAAACTGTTTTCAGCTTAATATTTTTATAAAGATAGGAGGATATATTGTTGTTCACTAAAAGATGTTGTCTCCTGGTAGGACACAGATTTCTGAGATAGCTACTACTTTCATTCTAGTTCCTGTGTTAGAAAATGGAGACTCCAGGAGGTGGGGAGTTGTCATCTGAAGGTTTAATAATTATTATTCCATGTTCATTCACTGAGCATCAAGGATATTATGGAAGGGCATGGTTATCTGTATGTTTGGTGGGGAAAGGAGAATAGGAGGGAACACTGAGCTGTAAAGATACTTAGTTTCTCTTTGGTTAGCATTGGTGTCTTGGTGATAACAGGTCATTATAAAGATAAATTTTTGTTGCTGAGTTTGCCATTTTATTCTATACTAGAGGCCCCACACACAAAATCATGCAGGTAGGGTCCTAGGGCCTAGCCTCCTGTGATCAGGGCCATTTTCTGCCCGTTTAGCAATCCCAAGGCCGAACACCACCTCCGCTACCGGGCGGTCAGGCTGTTGGGATCACCAGCTCATCCCCGGCTGCTCAGGGGCTCAGGCCTGTGGAAAAGGAGGCGCTGGCGACTTCACCTCCATGTGTGTGCGCTGGGCTGGCCGCTGATAGAACACGCTGCCCACTTGGGGCTGCTCACGCGGGTGCCGCCGCTGCTGCTGGGGCTTGAGGTCCTGATGGAAGCTGCGGGGCACACCCGCGACCTACCCGCCCAGGCCTGAGCGGGCAGCGCGTTCCCTCAGCGGCTGGCCCGGCGCATGTGCATGGAGGTGAAGTCACCAGCGCCTGCTTTTCCACAGGCCTGAGCCTCCGAGCAGCCGGGGATGAGCAGGTGATCCCAACGGCCTGACAGCCAGCCCGGTCCTCCCGCTACCCACCCCGATTCCCCCGTTCACCATCTCTGATCCATCGGAGCCTGCGGGCCAGGGGCAGGGACCAAGAGGTCAGCCATTCTGCCTGTTCGCCAGTCCGTAGTCCTGCCCTGCCCTGCCCACGGGTGGGAGGGTGAGTCGGGGGAGGGACCATCTCATGGTGACTGGTCATTTGGTCGTCACGGACACTGGCTACAGACACACACACACACACACACACACATATACACACATATAGCCTATATAATAAAAGCCTAATATGCAAATTGACTGAATGGCAGAACGGCCAGTTGCTATGATGCACACTGACCACCAGGGGGCAGATACTCAACGCAGGAGTTTCCCTTAGGCCCCAGGCCAGCCAAGGTGGGTGCGAGCTGGCCCCCCCCCCACACCCCCGATCGCCCTACCAGTCAGCCCGCAGAGGGAGGTGGGGGGTGGGGCCAGCAAATGGGCAGTGCCAGCCCAGCCAAGGCGGGTGCCAGTGGGGACCCCCCCCCCCAATTGCCCTGCAGAGGAAGGCGACTGGTGGCAGGGGGCAGGGCCAGGCTGGCCAAGGTGGGTGTGAGTGGGGGGCCCTGATCACCCTGCTAGTTGCCCCACAGATCGGCCCTGATTGCTGGCCAGGCCTAGGGACCCTACCTGTGCACAAATTTTGTGCACCGGGCCTCTCGTCTATGTAATAAAAGCCTAATATGCTAAGTGTCCGGTCAGCCGTTCAACCATTCAAAGTGTAATATGCTAATGATATGCTAAGGCCACTCAACCGCTCGCTCTGACGTACACTGACCACCAGGGAGGAGACACTCCAACTGGTAGGTTAGTTTGCTGCTGGGGTCCGGCCAATCGGGACTGAGGAAGATGGGCTGGACACGCCCTGGAGCCCTCCCACGGTCTCTCCTTGGCTGGCTAACCTCCTGCATCTCTCCCTGACCCTGATTGCGCACCAGTGGGGTCCCTTGGCCGGGCCTGTGCCCTCTTGCAATCCAGGAACCCTAGGGGGATGTTGCAGAGCTGGTTTTGGCCCGATCCCACAGGCCAAGGGACCCCACTGCTGCACAAATTCGTGCACCGGGCCTCTAGTTTTTAATAGTTCTGATTTGTATGCCTGGCCGTATGTCAAACAGGAGAATTACAATCTTTTCAAAGATACTGAAGTTAATGATAGACAAATTAGATTTTTCATAGCACATGGGGAAGAATGTATATTTTGCCTTATTCCCAAAAATGATTAAAAATTAGTGGCATACTTTTTCTTTTATAGTGGAAATTGATGACTTGAAAAAGATCACCAATTCACTGACTGTGCTTTGTAGTGAGAAACAGAAGCAAGAAAAGGTAAGAGCAAGCTGTGTGGGGCAATGTGTATTTCATTAGGATGGTGGTGCAGGCATAACATTCTTAACAAGCCTGGAAAACTTAAAGGTCAAGCAGTTTACCAATACCATTTAAATTGGAATAGAACGGTGTGAGTGTGAGTGACTTTTACTTTTTTTTTTTTTTTTCCAAACAAACATGTTCACAGTCTTGGTTTCTGAATTAATAGTAGAAATTGCCCTGGGTTGTCTGGGAATCTCCCTTAAAGAACTGAAGTTTTTCTGTGAGCAGAGGCTTTGGTGTCTCTTTGAGGGTTGCTATACCAGATAAGAAACACTTGGTAGATCAAGTCTCATGAATTGACTCTCTTTTATCTTTAGCAAAGCAAAGCCAAAAAGAAGAAGAAAGGTGTGGTTCCTGGAGGGGGATTAAAGGCCACCATGAAAGACGATCTGGCAGATTATGGTGGTTATGATGGAGGATATGTACAAGACTTTGAAGATTTCATGTGACATTTTATCTTCTCTGGTGTCTTCTTTCTGTTGCCCACAATCCCTTCAACATGTAGCACAACTTCCTTTCCTTTCAGTTCTGCCAAATGCTACAATCAGAAGTGCAGTATCTTTTGTGCTGGTTACTTAACCCCTTGACACTTAGGTGCTAATGTGCAAATGAGGGAACTTGGATCTCGCTGCCAAGGGGTTAAAATTGGGAACCTCAGTTGCTACTAAATCATAGTTTTAAAAAACACACAAACTTAATAATGTTGTCATTGTTGCTATCTGATTCTATAGCAGCAGTCACTAAATTGGAAACAAAGGTTGCAACATGACAAGAAATTGTGTAGTATTGACCAGCACCATTCAGTAATACAGCCTTAACCATACCTCCTTGAACTACTTCATAACTTGTCAAGAAAAGCAGTTTGCAGCAAGGGCATGTGATGTGCACCTAGTATTAAAATTGCTTTGTCTTAAAATTGAGCGTGAGGATATTAAACATACATTGTGAAGAAGACTGCTTTTGTCAGAGTGAAGATACAGCGGCTGAAAACTACTAGTCTGATACTTAAAAATTGACCAAAACTCTCCACTTTGAAGCTGAAGAAGGTAAACCTCTCCGTTATTGTATTACAAGTTGTGAAATCTCTTGAGTGCATACTGTCTATCAGACTGTTCTACTGATGAATTGCTTCAGATGGGGGAGGGAAACCCTATCTGCTTTATTTGCGTGATTGGAGTGTCTGAGGAACAAATATCCTTTGTTCTTCTGGGCTGCAGTGGAATAACTTTAAACAGGGTTTTGGCATTTCCTTTCCTTTATAAAACATGCTCAGCAAGCTGCACCAGTTAACTAGTTTGGTAAATTGTTATGTTAACAATTATGACATCTGCAATGTTTTATAAAGCAACTAATTTAATAAAATCACTATTGTGAGGACTTAAATTTTGTGTTATCTCCCAAGAGATATTTTTGGAGAGTATAGAACACAGCTCTTGGGACTAGAATTCTCTATATACTTAACAAAGCTTAATAAATGCTTGATGAGTAGTTAATAGCTTTAAAACAAAAATGATTTGTCAGGCCCTTAACAGGGTCACCCTAGAGCAACAAAGGTATAGGGCTGCCTTCCTCATTTTATTTATTTGGGGAAAAATTATTTGTGGTTTAGTTACTATAGAAAGGCAGTTTGTATGTAAGGTCTAAGATACCTAGAACTATTTATTGGAGTAATTGAGCTTATAACTCAGGTATGGCTGTGAGCATAGATTGAGTCATCTTTATTACATATATATTTTTAAGCAATTTAACCAAATTTGTTAAATTTTTAAAACTGTCACAGACTCAAAAGTAGGGACAGAACAATTAAATTATTTTTTTTAATTTCTCTTACATACAAAGGGGAGGGTCTCAATCAAAACTCTGTAGAGCACTAAGTGGAAGACAGGACCATCCAAATAATTTGAGAAGTTAACAGAAAGCAGTGACTACACAGCAATAATTACAGCCAATAAAAATTGTTTTAAGGCAGACAAGGGCTAAGATTTCCTTAGCAGTTAATAATGACATGCACTGAATTTATAATCTATTTTATTATAGAGATCAGTTTCTAACTAATGGAAATGTATCATCTGTTCCTTAACTGTGTAAATAATATTAAATTCCTTTGAAACTGGAATCTGCAGGCACAGGTATTCTTTAATCAATATTATATCATGTCCTAAAGTAAAAGCCATCCTGAGGAAGATGGGAGTTTTGAACTTAATACCAGTATCTATATAAAATGGTACAGAGAAACATCACTTTTAAAATAGTAATTTCCTTGTGAAAACTCTCATTCTTGACCCACAGAGGACTGGTATGATCAGTTCTGGATTTTATAACTTGGACAGCAAAGCTCCCAATGCATTATTCTACTGTAATCATAAACATCTGATGGTACCTCGTTGCAGTATAAGAAAACAGGCACCTGTATGAGAACCCATCTAACCTGCTAGCATGTCCTTTAGACAGCAGCCTGTCTGAGGGTCCTTCAGAAGCATATTCACAACATCATAAAGTTTGTGTTCGTATGCCAGCTTGTAATACAAGTAGATATCTTCACAATATGTGAGTAACTTCTTCAGGTTTTTCACAGCTGTATCAGTAGGCTGGTGTTGTTTATATCTAGACAAAGACACAGGAATGTACAGGTTAAGATACTGTATGTATCTTGAGCGAGGGCTATCAGCTCTGACACAATTACCTACAGTGGAAGACTGACATTATTTCTTAAAAATGAGTGCCTTACTGCTTACCTTAATTGGAATAAGTTAATACTCCAAAGGGGACCTCTGATGTTTAGGATTTTTGGCACCTCAGGCTAGCTGAGTAACTGTCCTCCCATTTTAAATACAGAGCACCATAAGCAAGGTGTTTTCACTCATCTTTTTGCAAAAAGATCTTCCTGGGGATTCTTGACATTTCTTTGTCATCTCAAGCACAGGGGTGGCATGTTATACTTAGCCATAAAATCATTACCCATGCCTTATCCAAATCAGGCATTTTAATACTTACTTTTTTGAAATCTCTTCAAATATACTGGTTCTTAATAACCTTTGCTGCTTAAATTCTTCCAAGTAATGAAAGTTTCCTTTAAGAATCACATGTTGGTATAGAATTTCAGCCCAATCAGGAACAAAGTCATAGGCCTCAGCCACAATAGAAGCCTTAAAAGAATGGAGGGAAGAACACCATTAGAGCCTATCTGATGTAAAATTGAAAACTTAATGCTGCATATACATTGACTGATCATTATCAATCATACTAAAAGGCTCCGTCTATCAGAATTGGTGTCAGTTTGACATTTTGCTTCCCCTAAAGCCCCAAAACACAGTCTTTCCTTGAGTGGATTAATACTAGTAAAACTGCTGAAAAACATCTTTTTCATACTAAACTGTGTAAGAAACAGTGAAAGGGCCAATTTCCTGAAACCATCTCTCATTACAGGACTGAAACCAGGCCCCCAATAGCCCTGATTCCCTGTGCTAACCCCGGTGCACCATTCTGTAAAAACACTGCGGCTAAGAGTTGCTTGCTGAACCCCTAGCAGGGATGTTCTTCTGAACCTCAAATGTCTAAGGGGTGAAAGTGTCTGCCTCCCTGCTGGCCTAACAATGTGTCTCACCATTCTCCAACCTTTGTCCAAACATGCTAGCAAGAAATACTACAAAAAAAGGCAATTTGTATGTCAGACAGCTAAGTCAGGAGAGCTGAACTGTCCTGGTTCTGACACTAACCCTGGGACTAGACAAGTCAATCTTAGCCCTATTAGACGGATAGCAGGAGAGAGGATGCTGGCAGTGCTGGCTAGATTTTTCTTCTGTGCTTACCTGGTAGAACCGAGGTAGGGACATGATGCAGTCCATCAGCCTGTGGCGACCTAGGTTGATAAGCATTGTGTTTTGGCCAGTGTTCAGAAAGTGAATCTGCAGTGTCAGCAACTTGGTGAGCCTGTGACAGTGCAGGGCCTGTCGCACACAGGAATCCTGAGGGACAGGGTGGAGGGATGCAAAAGTGAACTTTAGCCATCATCTCCCAATGAAGCCTCCAGCAACTGAGCCCTCCTCCCCCTTCTGCTGCCAATTGCCCCATGACTCCCTTGGGAGAGCCCAGGGACAAAATTCCCAAAGGTACCAAGCTCCAAACCAGCCTAAACTAAGACTCCATGGTTACCTTCGCATAACTCTCGGCGGCATCCAGCATGAGAGTCAGGGCCTTCAGTAGCAGCTGCTTCAGTTGGTGCCCATTCTTGATACTATCCTCTGCAAAGGAGTAAAAGAAATGGGAGTGTGCCTGACTCCCACGGCTGGCTACTCCACCGCATCAGAGTGATCACCGGCTGGACTAGAAATATCCCAGCTCGTGTTCACAGGGAGCAGATATGTCTCAGTTAGAGGGTATTGGGCCAGAAGTACACAGTCTGGAATAGAATTTAGTGCCCCATCTAGTTCTTCATTTCTTTCTAAAACATCAAGGCAGGCTTACATGGCATCAGCATACACACTGGTTCCTGACAGATGACCTGGACACTCAGGCTACAGGGCAGACAAATGCCTTCCAAGTCCCCTTACATCACTTACCTGCCCAGCTGGGGTGGCATTCAGTAGCTGCTAGAAGCTGAGGTGGGTTTTAGTCAATACAATGAGCTCCTGTCTTTTAAGCCCTAAGAACCAACCCTGAGGTAGGTGCTATTGTGACCTCTGCTCACCCCAGGGCTGAGACTCAATCAGTTTCAGCTGGATGCAGGCAGCTGCCTCATGGTTCTCCCCGATTTCCCTGCACATGCTGAAGCACAGGGCAATCATGTTGTGCTTCTCACTGTCCCCAGGGCGGCAGCGTTTGATGTAGTCAAGTAGGGCTGTCTTCAGGGTACCACTCTGCCCAGAAAAAAAAGAAACACCAAGGTCTCAACTAGGGACTGCAAGGCAGGCAGGCCTGGCTGAGTCCCTTGGTTCTTAAAGTTCCTTAAACACCCAAGAAAAAGGAAAAGAAAAATTAATATAAAAGTTTATGCTATCCTGAATATAAGGAAACAGGTACATCCTCTTTGCTGTTGGGAGTATGAACAGTAAAACCTGTCAGAAGGGGGAAGCCTTAAAAATGCACACGTGTTATTCTAACAACTCCATTTCTAAATCCATCCCTAAAGAAATAAGCAGGCAGAAGTGCTAAGATGGATGTAACAAGGATATATAATGGCAAACAATTAAAAATAATGCAGATGTTCAAAATAAGGGCTAAGAAAATACCTTGTAGCCATTTAAACTGATGTTGATTTGGGAAATATAACATGTTTATCAAGTGAGAAAGGCAGACTCATATTTGGACAGCATGATAAAAGCTTTATTAAAAAAATTAAGTATGTATGTTTATATGTTTGTGAGTATGTATGCAAAGGAAGGGCCTATACCAAAATGTTAGCAGTGGCTATCTCCACATGGTAGACACAGAGGGCTTTTTTCTGTGTTCT